GTTGCCTGGGGAGAAAGGAGGTCACCGCAGTGTCTGAGCTCTGACCTCCGAAAGGCCACAGGGTGTCTGACTTTTCTCTTTTCCTTTCCTTTCCCACTTCTCCAATTCTTCCTTCCTCAGACCCACTGTATCCCCTCTGCTACTCCTTCATTCCTCTCCTTACCTGAGAATAACTGCCTAATGACACTCCCCCTTGCCACCCCTTCCCCAAATACCTTATCAGAACTACCCAGAAAAACAAACAAATAAAATCTAGTTAAAATGAATTCACTCTGGCATAAAAGCCAAGACTGTACTTTAACCTAGGTAGAGGACAAACAAACAAACAAACAAACAGATATATGGCTTTATAAAGACAGAGATCTGGGGTGGTAAGGGGGAGTAATTTTATGATAAAAGATCACAAAGGAGAGAAGAGTGAGCCTGGCTGGAGGGGGGGCAAGGGGGGAGACCAATGAACAAACGATTTAATTACCCTCAGATATTGCACACATATAGACATACTCAGAAATGCCTTTCCTTTTTGAATTTCACTCCATTTAGTCCACCCTCAGCATCAAGAGAGTTCATCCTGGATACAAGTCATATTTTAAAATGACCTTTTCCTTCTCTTTCTTAGTTCTGAAGAAACATTTTTTTCTAATAGTAATGCGATTTGACTCCCCTACCTCACAGTATCTTGAACGGTTTCACTGTAAATATTATGTGTTTGTGACACCTTCCCAAATAAGCTGTCAACTTCACGTCTCTCCCTCACACACCGACCCCGCCATCAACCCCCTTCCCACACACGCACACACTCACACAGAATGACAGACGTTGGCAATGGGGTTTAAGTGTTTTGAAAAGGAGTGGCGGAGTTAAATAAAAATGTTAGTTAACTCACTGCCTTTGTTAAATAGCCCCGGGTGGAGAGGACCCGACAAAAAGAGGGAGGAGGAGGGGGCCTGAGCATCTGAAAAGTGCCTGTGCTAAGATCAAGGCTACCTCACGTTGGAGTCTTGTAATACCTCCTTTCAAACTGAGCTCATCTGTAGACCCCGAAGGGTGGTCCCAAAAGGCTGGGAACCTTTCCCCTGGGGCTGGGGTTGGCCTGGGGCTGGAGGGCCTTGGGGCGGAGGGAGGTGGGGCATTTACGAGTCCAGAGCAATCCGTGCGGCCAGGGCGGGGGAGGGGAGAGTCCATCCTCCTTTAAGGTTCTAGTTCAACCAAGTGTAAAGTCCCGGAGTGTCCGAAGCTGCGTAGATTTGAAGAGTAGAACGCGCCAAGAAACAAACAAACAAACAAACGAAAAAAACAAAATAAAAGTCTAGAAGTAGATATTATCTTTTGTCCCACTGTGAGTTACTCTTTGGCTCCTACCCTTCTGGTTAGCTCCTTTTGGTCCTCAGGACAGGGTCAGGGTCCCAGGGCTCAGGACTGACTTGAGTCGCCTGGAGTAGCCCTGGAAAGTGCAGGAAGGGGTTTAGGGAAAGTTGTTGGTGCGACTTCGAAATGAAAAGTAGCCAAAAGATCCCACAGGGCGTCGGCAGCCCCCCGGTTCCTGAAGAGTTTAGGGATAGAGGGACGTTGGGTGGGGGTGGGGAGGGGCGGGCGGGTCAAAGGTTGATGGGCAGGGGTCCCCAGAGACCTGAGCGCAGGAGCTGGGTGCCCTGACGCTCGGGGCCCAGGAGGCCAGGAAAAGAGGCTGCGGAGCCAACGGGCCGAGCCTCGCAGAGCGCACGGTGCCGGGGACCAGCCGGCCGGCTGGGCTCAGATTCGCCTGCCGTGCCCCTGCCGGCGGCGCCGCGCTCCCAGCCGCCCAGTCCGCCCCACCCCACGCCAACCTGCCGCCCCTGCCCTCCAAGGCCCGCTTCCGAGGCTGCGCTCCAAGGCCAGCCCTGGCAGAAACTCTTGACTGTGTGCTAGTCCCTCTCTGCCCATTCAGTCCCCGTCTCTCACTCCCAGGTTCTCTAAGGCAGGAGAAGAGAAAGAACAAGAAAGAGATAAAGATATTTTTAAGAGGTACATTAGGAAGGGAATACTCGCCAGCAGATGGTATTGCCAAAGTGGGCCCCCTTCTCACAAATCGTGCTTCCTTCATTTTTTGCTTTCATCGTTAGGATACTGTGCATGTTCCCCACCCCCCATACATGTGCCAAGAGAAGATGGGATGGAGGAGTACAGGAGTAATAGCCACCAACATTTTAAAATTATTTCCCTGATTTGATGTTTGGTGTTTTGACATCAATGACATTAATATTATTGATGATGTTTCGTGGATGGGGGTAGAGGAGAAAGCTATAAAGGAGAACTTGAAAACGAAATGATCATCATTTCCCTATTCTTCCAAGCCAGAAATAGAGCCCTTTCTTCACCTGAGCCTGAAACAGACTTATTGTTCTCAGGTGTTTCCTTCATCATTCGCATTTACTCGTCTGAAATCGCAGGAAATGGTTTTTCCATCAGTGAGCTTGTACACGGAGCCCTCTCCTGCAAAGGGCCTGATCCTTTCTGATTTGAACCTGAAAGTTTCCCTGCCTTCATTTCCCCTCAGTCTCTTTAAAAGCTCTCCCCATCCCCCTTACACATGCACCTCAAACAGTTTTTTAAAGCCAGAATATTTGCTCTCTGGGGTGTTTTTCGGTAAATAGTAATGCTACATAAACACCCCTTTCACTTGCAAGTTACAGAGAATTTAAATTTTACCCCCAGTGCATGTGAGTTTCTTAAGGCCCATGGATAAAACCCCACTGGGGTGCAACCAGACACTGCTAGCATGCTGGTGATACAGTTGCCAAGTAAAGGGGGGCTGCAAACAAAGTCACTTAAAAATCTTTGAAAGCGGTCCACTTGGAGCGGTTTCTTCCCAAAGAAGTTTGAAATGGCGTGGAGTCCTTTGGCGAAGTAGATCATTTTCTTCCTGTAAACATTTATTACCCGAGTTTCTAATACACCAGTACACGCAGTGACTCCAGCTTCCAAAGGTGGTGGCTTGCTGCCTTTCCCCCCCCCCCCCTTTTAATAAAGACCATATCTGGACCTTATTCTGTACTCCAAACCTCTGGACTTTCATTGTAACCTCAGCCAGCTGCTGTAGGCAACTAACCTTCCTGGTCTGGGCCTGTCTGCCCTTTTGAGGACAACCTTTTATCCTCCCAGGTGTTTTGTTTGGTTTTTAATCTCATTTTTATCAATCCTAAAATGCCCAAATGTTCCATGATAGCACTAGATTTCAGGCCCAGAAAGGTGGATGTTTGCAGTTGATGTTGTTTACAGGGCTTGTGTGATCAACCTTTCTGTTGGTATTTGGTAGCTTTGGTGCCTAAGGCCTAAAATAAGGTTTTGAAGGAGCTGCTGGTGATCTGATCTTCAAAGGCCTGTCAGCTCCAGAGGAGTTGACACTTCACCTGTGCAGGAAGCTGGACATTGCAAGTATTTCCTGTTTTTAACCCTCTTGGTTTTTAACCCGCTTTCACTCTAAATTCCTATTTTTGAAATATTGCATAGATAGTGTCTGCTTGTGTCATCCTGTGGTGCTGTAGCAGTCCATCAGGAACCAGGATGCTGAGTAGTAATGGATATATAATATATATTATACACACATTCTGCATATTCAGTAGGGAGTATTTAAAAGTATGTCTATTCCTAGTTTTAGTTAATTATCTTTTAATGAAAGTGTCACTCATATTCACATCTGTAATATTGGAAAGAGATAATTAGATTTTCAAATGAGAAGCAGACACCTTAAATTTTGCACCAGAAAATACCAAGTATATTTCATTCTAATGAGATCTGTAGTGGGGTTTTTAAATTCATCCTAATGTGCTGCAAAAAGGATAATTCAACAGACATGTAGATGAAAGGGTTTTTTTTTGGTCTAAGTCTTCTTTAAGACTTCTTTAATGCTACTGCATTGAACTTATGCAATTCTGATAAAATATATATTTTTAGTTACAGGTTAGAATTGTACCCCCCACCATCACCCTGGCAACAGTGCCCTTATTCTCATTTGGAAGTTTACTTTGCCTTAACTAACTGCTCCCAGCTCTGATGCCCTGGGCTTTCCCTCCTGCGCGTGCAAGTAAAAGATACATGTTTAAATAAAACGCATGTGCATCAGGAGTGCAATCTCTTCGTTGAAACATGCTGGGCAGAGGGAAGCTAGCACGTAGCCAGGCACTCTTTATTTACATACATCTGCATATGTACCCGAGACCCCCAGCATTTCTGCATTAAAGTGCGTTCCAGTACGTAGCAGAATAAACTAAGCATAGAAAGGTTCTTCATTGCCTTAACTCATATTTCTGCTTAAAGCTTTCCTGTAAACAAATCTCTCGTCTGATAATAATTACTTTGCTCCATTAAAAAAAATCTCGAATAGTTAAAGGCTGTTTTTGTGTTTTATTCCTCCCCCTGGTTAAAACAGTGTGTGTGTCTAATGAAGTTTTGGAGTGGTGCGCAGGGGCGCTGGGGGTGCGAGCCCCGGAGGTCCCCATCCCCTGCCCTCTCCTCAGTCGCAGCGTCCAGGGCTCCAGCCATAGCGCTTTGAGCCTTGGAAACTGCGAGGCTCCCGGGCTGCTACGAGTCCCGGCAGCGCGTCATTTGCAGTCTGGGGAATGTTGATCACCTCACTAATTACACCTCTCTCTCCCCCCTCTCCCTCTCCCTCTCCCTCGCTCTCCTCTCTCATTCCCAGAGTGCATATCGGGAATAGACACACAAAGACATGCGCACTCAACTTAATCAGCCATTTTTTTAAACAGGGCTAAAACGATAATAATTAGCAGAATAAAGACATATCGGATTTTCATTTCCTTTCCTCCTTTTCCCAACCCCTTCACAACCAAACAGCGAGACCGCGGTCGGCACATGCTTTAACTCCTCCCGGACCCCCGAGGACCGCTCCATGCCCCCCACTTTCTGCTCCAGCGTTTTTATTTTCACCCAATAAAGTTCGAGGATTATTTTTTTATTTTTTTATTATTTTTTTAATGAGCCCTCTCGTTTTACTTGGATGTGATCAGCTGTAAGTAAAATAAAAGCAAAACAAAAAAAGAGGCGAAGATCGAGTAGGAACTGCAGGGAAATGGAAAGTAAGTTTTTTTCTTTAACTTTTATTGAGTAGTTTGTGTTAAATTTAGGTCGAGTATCGATTATCTTTCCAGCCTGATCTTGCACAATCTTTGATATTTCGCTCCCTCTCTCTCCCTCTCCCTCTCTGCCGCTAGCTCTCTCGCTCGCGCTCTCTCGCTCTCGCACACAGCTCCTCACTCATCCCGACCCTCTTCCTCTCTGCCCCCCTTTTTGCCCCTTTCCCCCCTTTTTTTGGCTCCAGAATTTGCTTTGCTGAGGGAGGGAAGGGGTGCCAAGGGACCTGATTTTCCGCTTTCTTTGGGGGGGAGGGGATGTCTGCGTTTTCTGGGATCTAACTTTTGGATTAAGTGGCGGATGCTCCACGTTTGATCGGGCTGTTTTCGCTCCCTTTTCCTCTCTTTTCGGGTTCTGCCTCCACCGGGAGCCTGGGGCGTTCTCGAGGCTCGGAGAAGCTGTCAGCTCCGAACGGCGCGCCCACTGCCCGGGGTCCCTGCTCTCCCGGCACCCTGGGCCTGATGACTCTTCGTCCGCACCCATCCTCCGAAAGTTTGGACGTTAGTCGATGGGGCTTGGAGCCCCTCTCTCCCGTCCTTACCCTCCCCCTCCTGCCCCTTTCAGCCTCGTTTCTCTTCCTCCTCCTACCCGCCGCCCCCCCCTCCTGCTTCGCCTTCTCAAGTTCCCCGAAGGGCGCGGAGAGGCCCCGGGCTCTGTGCCGGGCGCGCCGGGCGGGCAGGGGGTTCCGGGAGGCCGTGCGCGCGCGGGCTGGGCTGGGCCGGGCTGGGACTCCAGGTAGACCGCCGCTCGCTGGCGCTGCTGGCAGCGGCGGCGGCGGCCGGCTTGCGGAAGGCGGCTCCTGGCGGCGCGGGCGCCGGGCACGCCGGGCAGGTCCGTTAGGAGGCGGGCTCTCCTGGCCACCAGGCGGGAGATCCGGGACGCGGCGGCCGCGGACTCGGGGCGCGTTGGCCGCTCAGTGTGTGTGCTTTCGAGCCGAGGACTGACGCTCGAGGCGCGGGGTCAAGGCTGTGAACCGCTGCTCGGGATGCTTTTCCTTTCTTTTTGAAAAAGGGCACAGGGTGTGTGTGTGTGTGTGTGTGTGTGTGTGTGTGTGTGTAAAGAAAGGGAATTGGGGGGCTGTGGGCCACCATGAGAACTGCATCATCCCCAGTCATCCTCCCCCCACCCCCACCCCCCAAAAAACCCGGGTTCTCTGGCTACAAATGAACTTCACCTCCTTTGCCTCTCCTGGAATCAAGTGCGCCTTCGGGCCGGGAGCGGCTCATGGAAAGGGGGCAGGAATGCGCCGGGTCTGGTCTTCCTTCCACCACCCCCACCCCCGGCTCCATTCTTTCTGCTCTTTTCCATTGGAATAAAATAAAATAAAATAAAAAAGCTCATGGAATTTTATAAAGTTTTGTTGCCGTAGCCCAAGTTACAAAAGCTGCCCCCTCCCGCCGGTCCTCTCCTACGGAAGACAGTGCGGTGATTTGTATTTCTTTTGTTACCTGTGATCCGGGCGGGGGGCTCCCTTGAATTGCTCGGGCTGGGGTCCGGCCGGGAGAGAAGGCTCCGGCGGGTGTCTTTGGCCGAGACTCCACACTTCCGCGCGGTTCTGGTGAGGCTTTAGCTACCGTTCGCTGAGACACCCTCCTTGTAGGTACCAAAGGTTCAGATCGCAAACAAGGACACCCTCCCCCCCCCACACACACACCGACCCCTAAACACACACACACACACACACACACACACATACACACACACAGTTTCCCCCACCTCTGGCCCCCACCTTGCCTTTTCCCCTCCCCCAAACAAGCACACACATACACATAGGCACACAACAACAATAAAACAGGAACCCCCTGCCCCCCAATCCAAACAAAACCCAAAGACAAGTTCACTGGCGGAAGATGGTGGATTGACACTGACTCCGACAGAGGCAGGTTCACCAGGAAATCTGGCCGTCCGGTTTTCTGACAGTTGCATTTCCTCTCCTTGAGTCCTCTCCCCCTCCCCCCACTTTTTTTTTTATTAACTCTGTTCCATGTTTAATCAAAGATCATGTAGATGGCAAAGGAGAGACAGAGGGAGAGAGAGAGAAAGCAAGGGAGAGAGAGGGAGAGAGGAAGAGAGAGGGACAAGAGACAGAAGGAAGCCTTTTTTTTTTTTTATTGTGTTCTCCTGGATTTTCAGTGGCTTGATCCCTATAAACGTGGAGCGGTTAAAGCTCATATGTAGTATTATATTTTTAGTTGGGTGGATGGACGGAAGAGTGAGGGAGAGGCTGCGGCTGCCGCTGCCTTCTTGGGTGTTGCTTAGATTAAGGCTGAGACTTGGCTGCGATTGGGACGCGACAGTGACACGGGCATCGATCGCTTCCATTGAGAGCCATGCAAAAACACAGCCCGGGTATGTAACACTCTCAGTGCCATCAACACTTGTTTTACTTTGTATTTACTGGCAAAACGGACAGAGCAAGCTCAGACTGTCTTTCTTTCTTTGTTTTTGTTTCTTTTTTCCCGTTCCCTCTTTCCTCTTTTCTAACTGAAGAATGAAAGCAATTGTGTACAGAAGTTGCTAAAGGGTGGTTGAAATAAAACAGAAAGGGGATATTAAGGATTGTTTTACTATCTCTCGGACGGAAGGTGTTTTAGAGTTTTTCTTCTCCACCGAGGAGCTTATTAAAGAAAATGAAGGTTTTCTTCTTCTTTTAAAAAAAAATCCTTAAGGGACTATCTGATAGTTTTCAAGGTTTGCGGTTTCAATCAGCAGGAAGGCACACAAGAATAAAAGATGGCTAGCCAGCTGTTTTAACCTCTTGCACCTGGATTCAGTGTGGGGATCATAAGGTTTATACAGTTTTTTTTTAAATGCTTTTAATATTTATGGCATAAACTGGGGGAAAGCTTCCCTGTATGTTCAGTCAGCATCTGGTTGCTTTTGAATTTGAAAAATAAGCACCTACTCAAGTATTTTCATTTTCATGGCAAGGAAGATAGGGTCAATGAAATATGGGGGAAATACCATAAATCTGGAAAAGTGAAATGTACCCAAGGAACAAAGAAAGGTCAGGTAAACCAGCTGTGTAAGTCTCAGCAATAGTGGCTGTGAGGTCAGTTGGAGCCCAGGGATAGTGGGCTCTGGGTTTGTGAGGTGAAGTTGTCATTTAAGTTAAAAATGAATCAAACATCTCAGCTCTGTGCTGTCCTTTTGCAGTTTATAGTTGGTGAGCTCCAATCTGCTCATTAATTTTGAGCTAGTTGGATTATTTCAAAAGATGCTGTACCAGCAAAGGGAAACATAGAGGAGGCTGAGAAAATCACTGTTTAATATTGCAGAATTTACTGCTTCCATTCTGACCATGAGCCTAAATTTACACAATGAAATTTGATTATCTCTAATAACAATATTAGATCCTGCCCTGGATGGATGAGAATTGAGGTGGTTTTGTTGATTGCAAGGGTTTAATGTTGCATTTCAGAATCTGATGTGGTTTAGCCTCCCTTCCATTAACTGGAAAACCCCTGAGGTTTTACAATTATTTCTTAAAGATAATACATTTAAGATTGCATTGGTAGGCTGAAGAAAAGTCATAAAGGCAAGAAGGGAAGCCCTTAATAACTCTTGAGAGTCAGACATGTTCAGCAGTTAGATTGGCTCTGACTTCACCAAGGGTCGACAATGTGTCATTTCCACGAAGCCAAATTGCCCTCTGCCTATATGATATTAATGTGCAAATCAATATTTCAGGGATTAAATTTCCCTTCTTCATTTTTTATGGTTTCTACCTCAATAAGTCTCAAGTCTATTAGAAGAGGCTGGATGATTTAAAATCTTTCACTGCAGAATGGCTTGTTTCACAGACCATTTTAGGGTTTTCGTTAGAAAAGACTAAAGGCATCCTGAAGAAGTTGTGAGGCAGTGTAGAGCCAGGCTCAATAGTGTAAAGCCCATGTTCGATTAAGAGCTAAAAGGTATTGGAAAGATAATATACATGTTTGTGTAATATATATATATATATATATATATATACTTTCTGCTGTTTTAAAAATATTGTTAATCACCTATTGATTTATTTCAAAATCAATTGAAGCTCCTTTCTTGTTAGTGATTTGTTCAGCATTCTTGAGGACTGTGTTAATTTTATTAAAGTATGCATGGGTTCGCTTGATGTGCAAGTGTTGGGAGAGATTTCCATTTAACAATATTTCCCTAGGAGAGATGTTTCTAGAAACTATTGTTTGTGAGAATGTAATAAGGCAAGTGTTGTCATCTGCATACATTGTGGTCCTAGCTATCAACTGCATTTTGTGGCTGGGTGAGTTGGCTGTTAATATGTTAAAGGAGGCCTTCTTCAATACTTTTACATTTCTCTTCTACTTAGTAGGACAATGTTTATGTTTACTCTCTGGGAGGGCCACAAAGATGTAAGCTGATTTCATACAAAGCAGAAATTTGGAGGGTTAGAATATTATAAGGTTGTGAGTTTATCACATAATCTTGGGAAGGCCTACTGTCTATCATTTGCTGGTGTTTTATAGTCTTAAACCATCTGGACCAAGTTCCGCACAGCTGCATGAATTTCATATGTGATAGAACATTTTTTCCATTCAGTGTGAAATGTTCCTTCCTTAAAAAAAAATGCACACCAGACTTGCTTAATTTAGTCTGTTAAAAGAAATGCACATGAAAAAGGACAAAAGGCTCTTTAATCTCTGCAAGCTGTTTGCTTTTCTTCAAGATTCCTGTCTGTTTGGGTTTTAAAAGTCATGTTTATTGAGGAGATGATTCTGAGGTGTGACATTAAAATAATATATGATTTTTGGACTAGTGGCCACACGCTCCTGCTTAATTTGCAGAACTACTTTTTATGTCTGTCCAAACAGGGAGTTAATCTATCCTTATTTACAATTAATCTCAATAAAATTAATCTTAACTATGCCTTATTCAGTGGCTTAAAATATCTAATTATATTCAATTAACTGCTGTCATAGTAATTAACATT